TTGTTCACAGCCATACTATGTATGGGGCAATTAGTGCTACATAGGATAAATTAAAGAGTCCTGAGGCTCAGAAACAGTAGGCTGAGAGGCAGTGGGGACAGAACAATCTGCCAGTAGCCTAGTTCTCAGTCTTTGCTCACTTGAGTCCTAATTTAACTTTTGAACAGACATAAAATAAGCATTTTATCACAGAATACAAGAACCTTTCTACACAGAATTTTTGTTGTTGTTGTGATTGTACTGTAGTTCCTAGGAGGAAATGGCACTTTGAAGGGCTGCTGCGCCTCAAAACTTCTATCATGCCCCTTTAACGTGTTTAAATGAAGTAGCTTCCCCCACTTCCAGACATGAGTGCCGCCAGATTGCTATGCTCCAAGTGACAAACAGGGCTTCAGTGTATGTGCAGGAATCTATTAATCAAGGCAGATCAACCTCACTTTTTATGCTTCAGTGAGCATGAAACTGAGCAAACTCAGGGAGGCAGTGAAGGACAGGAAGGCCTGGTGCAATATGGTTCATGGGGTCACGAAGAGTCGGACACGACTTAACAACTGAACAACAACAACAAAGAGAGAATGCCTTGATCCAGTGAGGTGAAGCACTTGGCCAACAAAGAATAGCACTGCTTCTCAGACCCCTGAATTACATACATTATACCCCCTTTCCACATCTTTTTGGAGCATGTCTCATACCTTCTTTAGTATTTTTAAGCAAATCCAGCTAAGTATTCATAAATAAACACTCAGTAGATAGTGTTTATCTAAACACTAAACATCATACAAATCAAGGATACAATAGTACAGGCTTTCGATAGAATGAAATAGAAAATAATATAGACAGATGTTGTAATAGTGCAGAAGTACCTTGGATACATGCATCTATTTTTTTTTAAAGAACTACACCGTAGCTCCAAGATAAAACCATAAATGTGAAATGTGCATTCAATGAAGGGGATTGAGAATAAAACAATTCTAATGTAGTAATGCTTTTACACATATGTATGAGGCCACACTTGATATACTGTATAGAGTTCTGGTCACTATACTGAATAAAAGGACAGTGAAAACTGGAGTACTAGAGAACTCTGCTATGATGAAATATTGGAACCTCTGGGATTTTTAGCTTGGAGTAAAAGCAGATTTAAGGAAGTATAAAAAAATCTTGGGTGGAATGGAAAATATTTTCCCCCTCTCATTCAAACTAAATGCAGGAGACTGAAAAACGAAGGACTTTTGTTTTTCCTCAAAAGGGAATTGGACAAATTAATGTTGGATTAGACCGTCAGTGGCTAATCATTTCAATGGCTGTTTGCTGCCTCTGAAATTATGACCAGCGTGGGCTTAAACACCAGTAGGTGAGGAAGGCTATCACTGCTGGCCCTTGTTTATGAGCTTTCTGAATTCCTGTGTTTGCCCACTATGGGACACAGTATGATGGACTAGTGGGGCTATTGGTCTGATCCTGCAGGACTTCTTATATTATTCAACAACTACATAGAGGGCAGTTTATAATGTTGAATTGTCAACAGTTAAACTATCAGTTAAGAACTTAAACATAATTACTGCCTTCCTGTGATCAGTGGATTAACTTTTTCTGTACAGTGC